ACAGGAAATCCTAGACTGAGTCCCTGGATGTAGTGCTTCCGCATTTGGTTGTCCTGTCCTTGAGACAAGGTGGCTGTGGCTGAGGGTCCTGGACTCAGGTCAGTAGAGGGAGGCGCCCCTAGTGAGTGAGGAATGGGCAAAGGGCAGAGAACCCCGAGAGAGAATTGAGATGACCTCCTACTGAGGGGAGCACACAGAAACCCATCCTTCTGTAAAGGCTAGGAGTCCCTGGGGTGGTATCAGAGGCGCCACCATCCTTTACCTTGGGGCCTCAAGTTGGTGTGGAACTTGGTTTGATGGTCGCATAAGGGAGGGGTGTCGACCTCTATGGGTTTAAATGTGAGTTATTACTTCTAGAAGGACTGAGGGATTGGCCCCACCCCCTCACTTGCCTATCGCCTACCCGGAGGTCAGGTTCAAAGCTCGCCCTGCCCTACCAGGCCCCACACCTATCCATCCCACTCCCCCAGCCCATATTTGGCCCTGCCCTGCCCTTTGGGACAGGAAATCCCAGACTGGGTCCCTGGATGTAGTTTCAAGACTTGCACATCCTGGCCCTGAGACGAGTGGTGGTGGCTGAGGGTCCTGGAGTTAGGTCAGTAGAGGGAGGGGTCCCCAACGGGGAACGGGCAAAGGACAGATGGGAACCCTGAGGGAGGATCAAGATGATCTCCCACTGAGAGCGACCCCACAAAAATTCATCCATCTGTCAAGTCTAGCGGATGGTACCCAGAGGAGCTTATTCCCCCCCGCCCCCCGCGGGGCCATGAGTTGATGGGGGGCTTGGTTTGATGACCGCAGAAGCGAGGGGTGACAGCTGTTGTGGGGATAAACGTGAATGATTACTTTGAGGAGTGAGGGATCCGGCCCCACCACCTCACTTCCTAACCTCCCCACTCAGAGGGCAGCATCACAGCCCCTCCCTGTCCTATGCAGCTGCCCCACCCCCCTACCCGGCCCCACCCCACTGCCCATATCCAGCCTCACTCAGCCCCGCCCTGCCCTGGTTGGCCCTCTGGGACAGGGCATCCCAGGCTGTGTTCCTGGATGTAGGGTTTCAGGACTTTCACTTTCTGGCCCCGAGAAACAGGTGACTGTGGCTGAGGGGCCTGCACTCAGCTCAGTTGAGGGAAGGATTCCCAGGGAGGAATAGGCAAAGGGCACCCGAGGAGGATTGAGATGATCTCCCACTGAGAGGGGATCCTACAGAAACCCATCCTTCTGTTAAGGCTAGGAGTCCCTGGGTCAAGGGCTCCAAGGTGCCACTCTCTTCAGGTTGGTGGAGAGTCTTGACCTGAGGGTGGCAGAAGTAAGGCGTGGCGGCCCTTTTCAAAGTAAATAGGATATTTTGAGAAGGACTGAGGACCCCCTTCACCCCCACGCCCAGTCTCATCCTCACGTCCAGTCCCACCCCCAGCCCTGGGGGGAAGGTTCAAAATGCCCCCAGCCCCATGAATCCCCAGATAGGGTTTAGTGCCTTGCACCTTGGGTGTTTTAGGAGGTGCTGCTTCACCTGAGGGTCCCAGAATCTGGTCAGTGGAGGGAGGGGTACTCAGCAGGGAGGGGGCTAGGGCAGATAAGACCCTAGAGGGAGGACACAGGGGATCTTTCATCCAGAGGGGATCCCACAGAAACCAGTCCACCTATCAAGGCTAGGATTCCCTGGGTCGGTGCTGCTAAATGGTGACCTCCCCTCCCTCCGGAGTCCCCAGTTGATTGGTTGGTCTGAGGGTCACAGAAACAAGGGAGTGGCAGCCCTATCCAGAGTAAACATATTTTGAAAAGGACTAAGGGCCTCCCTTGCTCCGCCCCCCTGCCCTATTCCCACTGCTCCCCTCACCCCATCCCATGCCCACCCCAACTTAGCCACCCTTCCTCCCATGGTACTCCTCTCCCCACCCCACCCTTAGCCTTTACCACTCCGCACCCCAGACAGGGCCTGTAGTTGTCAGGTTTCATGAATCGCGCCTTGAGATCCAAAGGCACATGCTGCTTCTGCTTCCACTGAGGGCCCTGGAGTTGGTTCAGCAGGGGGAGAAGTCTAGGCCCTGCTCACACAATTTGAGACCCTCTCTGATTGCAGCCTCCAGCCAAGTTCCAATCACCCCCAAATCCCTGCATGGTGACTCATCCTCCCTCAATACTCTTCAAACCCCTCCCAGCCCCTGGTTCTGGGAAACACTGGTAGGGCCCCAGATTGTAGTATGTTCTGAATTCTGCCTCTCCCTCCTCCATAGCCCCTTAACCTTGACCCTTCCTTCAACCCTGGGAAGCCCCAGTATGTTCCTTGCATATAGTGTGTTTTATCAAACGTGTTGGACTTTTGAGGGCCAGGGAATTGGTTCAACAGAGGGAGGAATCAAGGCCATTCAGGGTGTCCAAAGGAGGACCCTGAGGGAGTTCTGAGAAGTCTTCCCCACAGGTGGATGCTTCCCTTCCTCCACTTGCCACCCCCATTCCTGCACTCACTCCTGCTCCCACTGCTCTGGCCCTGCCACCCCTCCCCACTACCACCCTCGCTGTTGATCTTGGAAAGCTTTAGGCAGGGTTCCTGGATGTAGCATTTCCTGACTTTTATCTCCTCTGGAAGCAGAAGAATATGTGGTTTTTGTTGTCCTGGGTTTGGGTTAGCAGAAGAGTTCAGACCATGAAGGGGGAGAGACAAGTAAGGACTCTGAAGGAGCACAGTGAGGCTTCCCCGAAGGTAGAGGACCCCCTTTTGGTGTCCCCACTCCTCCATGCTCCCCTAGCACTGCCCCTACCTTTAGCTCAGGAAAGTCCATGCAAGATCCTGAGATGTGGTGTCCCCTGACTTCCACCTTGGGTTTTGAGGGCCTGGGCCACATCAGTAGACAGAGGGGTCCAGGCCTTCCCTTGGGGGCAAGTGAGGGACCTGAGAGGACAGAGGGGGTTCCCCCACAGGCAGAGGCATCACCTCCAGCTGGCTGTCCCCACTCCTGTGCACTGCTCCATCCTCACACCCCCTCCCCTCTCAATGACCACATAGGCAGGCCCAGCCCTGCCCGCAGTCCTCAAACTTCCTCAGGATCCCTCGATATGATGTGTTCTGAGTTATACCTTGGGAGACTGAGGAAGAGATGGTTTTAGCTTTCAGGGCCTGTGTAGGAACAGCCAAGGAAGGGGTTCAGGACCTGGAGGGGTGGTGGGGGGTGGGCATGGCAAGTGAAGACCTCAAGACTTCAAGCATGCCCCACAGGGAGAGGCCACTTCCATGCTGTCCCTCCTCCTCCATGCTTTCTTAGGCTCCTCAACTCCCTGCAGGCAGCCCTGGGAACTCCCATCAGGATTCTTAGTTGTGAAATTGCTCAAGATCGAGTCGGATGAGGTAATAGTGCTTCATCAGGGTACCTCAGAGTTCATTCAGTAGTCCAGGCCCTGCCAGGGGCTAAAGTGAGGGCCTAGAGGAGACCCCACAAAATCCTGCACCCTGCCAGCCTCCAAAGGCCTGAGCCTAGCTTCTGGACACTCCACACTCCCTTTCCTCACTGTCTTAGGGAGAAGGGGGCTGGGATTTTCTGGGAAGAGTGTTGGGTCAGCAAAAGGCAGGTGGACCCAGCCCAGTCTGGAATTGTTAGGAGTTCATTCTTGACGGCAGAGGGAGCCACCATGCCCAACAGCAGCAATCCCACAGAAACTGGCCTTGCTGTCTGCCTGGAAGACCACCGGGACCTGGAATGAAATCTTCACTTTGGTCTCTGTGCGTTCAGGAAGGCGATGGCCTTACTCCTAGGGGGAGGTCTTCAGAGTGAGATCTGAGCCTCTCCAAGGTGTAAAGATGAATACTCAAAAGTTAGTTCTCAGAATAGCCAAGGACCGGTCCCTGCTGGGAGCCCTGGAACAACTCTGGACAGGGATGACCAGGTGTCAAGTGTCCTAACTTCTCTTTGGCAAGTGGGGCTGGTTTTGTCTCAGGAGGGCTATAAAATCCTCTCAGCAGGATATTGTCTCTGCCAACGGTTAAAGAGGAATACCCTGAAGGGACCTCCCACCCTAGAGCATCTAAAGAAGTCCACAGAAATTGTTTTTTGCCCTTGATATCACCCTTTGTGAACCTTGTGCAGGCCTGCTAAGTGTAGGCCCCCTTGGGGGCGACACCCTTCCATTTCTGATTCAAAGGTGTCAAGGAGGTGGAGGGTCTTGGTTATAATAGGAAGTACTCAGATTAGGAGAGGGGAGGGTTGAGGCCTTTACACGGATGGATGTGAGGAAGCTGAGGAAGAATGGCAAGGACCTCCCACTCTAGTAGTAGAGACCTCTTCAGAAACCCACACCTATTATCACCCTTGGCGGGTCTGGAGTTAAGTGGCTGAATGTGGTGTACCATGTTTCATGTCTTTAGTCTGAAGGGGACATTCAAGTCAGCAGAGGAAAGAGTTCCAACCTTCTCAGTGTGAGAATATGTGCCCCTTCTAGAACATAGAAACCTGTCCTACCCTCCTGTCACCATGGGAGGACTTGGGACAGAGTCCTTGGATGTGATACCTCTTCACTCCCTCTTTGCAGGTCTCCTTGTTATGAGAGGTTTACCTTCGGTAAGCAGAAAGTAGGGCTCAGGCCCTCTTAAGGGAAAGCTGAAGAGTGTGAGTGAGCACTGAATAGACTATACACCCCTGCACTGTCCTCTCCTGCCCTCTCCTGTTAGTACTGGAAGGTTCAAGATAGTGCTTATAGTGATGGGCTCTTTTATCCTCACAGGGACTCAAGGAACCAGGCAAGTTCTCAGGTCAGCATAAAGGAGGAGGCCCAGGCACTGCCAGAAGTCTAGGTGAGGACCCTGAATGTCTCCTAAGGGACCTGCAATCGTCATTACCTAGTGCTGCTGTAACACAAACACCACACATGGGTGGATTTAAAGGATGGCTACAAACCCCACAATCAAAGCTTGAGCATGCTACTTCCTACCCTTTCTGTGTCTAATTTACTCTTTTCATAATTCAGAAATGATTTCATTTAAGACACACTGAACATTGGTATCAAATCATTAACAACAAAGAAAGCTATTTTTCTAAACTGAGTCATATCCATAGGTGTAGGGATTTAAAATTCCAACCCATATTTGGGGAGAGCATAATTAAACTCATAGCACATACCCCAGCAGAGAGGGGTGACCCCATCTGCTCTGTTGTCAGTCCTGGAAGGCTAGTCACTTTTTCCTTTAAGTCCTTTTGGGGAGAAGTCAGCCAGGATAGGAGACCTGTGAGATCCCAGAGCACAAGCACAAGAGAAAACCTGTAATTCAGGGTCTCTGTCAGAACTGCTAAGGTTAAATTTCCCAGCTGAAGAAGCTCACACTTTTCCCTCTCTCCTCCAGGTGAGTGTGCCCTTACTACTCACCCTTCTGCCACACTCTTGCCTGCTGCTCCAGACAAGTCATCATGTCGCAAAGCCATAAGAGTCATTATCGCCTAAAGGAGATCCGCTATTGGCCCCTGATTAAACGACCAAGCCAAGGGTGTTCAAGGCTTCCTGTAATTTTGGAGGGGGCCACAGAGGAAGAGTCAGCTGCTGGGATGCCAAGAGTTCCCCAGAATTTTCCTACAACCTGCCCTGCCTCAACTACTATTGCACCTGCTTCAGTTGAGGGTCCCAGCAATCAAGAAGAGGTTCCAAGCACCTCATAGGTCTTACCAGAGATTCAGGCCACGTTCGATGACATACTAGATAAGAAGGTAATTGATTTGGTGCAGCTTCTGAGCATCAAGTATGTAACAAAGCAGTCCATTACAAAGGCAGAAATGGTGAAGACAGCCATGACCCAGTATGGAGATCACTTCCCTGAGATCTTCCAGAAAACCTGTGAGTGCATGGAATTTGTCTTTGGCATCTCTGTGAAGGAAGTTGAACCCTCAGGCCACACATATGTCCTTGTCAAAACGCTAGACCTCACCTACGAAGGAATGCCGAGTAATGTCCAGGGCATGCCCAGTATTGGCCTCCTGATTATTCTCCTGGTTTTGATCTTCATGGAGGGCAACCATGTCCCTGAGGAGAAGATGTGGGATGTGCTGAAAAGAATCAGGATATTTCCTGAGAGCCCAGATTTCATCTATGGGGAACCCAAGAAGTTAATCACCAGAGAATTGGTGAAAGAAGGGTACCTGGAGTACCAGCGCATACCCAACAGTGACCCCCCTCGCTATGAATTGCTGTGGGGTCCAAGAGCCTACAAAGAAACCAGCAAGATGAAAGTTCTGAAGTTTTTTGCCAAGGTTAATGGGAGTGACGCCAGGTCCTTCCCAACCTTGTATGAAGAGGCCTTGAGAGATGAGGAAGAAAAGACCTAAGGCAGAATTGCCACTCTGGCCAGTGTCACCCAGCCCCAACCCCAGTAAAGTATGAAGAAGCTTCTTCATCCAGTTGAAAGTTTAAAGAGGACAGTTACTGTTCTAAATAGTGAAGGGCCAGAGTCAGCTGTTTCGTTTCTGTATGAGAACTTAGAGCTTGATCTCTCTTTCCCCACTTTTGGGTGTTTTTCAAATAGTGTTCCTCTGAATAGAAAATTTTATTAGATTAAAAATATACGTTTATGAGTTGATCGCACATTGCTGTTTTTCAAGTTTAAGATGAAATAATTTCTCTTTGGAAAACAAATTGAGAAAACATCATCGTATTTTGTGAAGGGAAACAAGTTAACATGGCATTGGAATAGGAGTTTCCTTAGAAATGTGAAAGAACCCAGCAATAAAATGGGATTAAGGAAACAGAGAAATAAAACACAAACGATGATTAAGTCTTGGATTCCTGTATCTCTTTGTGTGTGTGTGTGTGTGTGTGTGCAAAAGACCTCTATTACTTTCATTTTAATTGTTTTATTGACATACAATGCACGTCATACAATTCAATGGTTTAAACATAGTAGGATTGTGCAGTCAGCACTGCAATTTTGGAACATTTTCTTTCTTGTACTCCTTATTAGATCGCCCCCCCCCAATTGTACTCCTTATTAGATCGCCCCCCCCCCCCAATTTCTCCACAACCTCCCCTGCCAGAGTGGTTATGAGTTGTGGTGATAACTAAAACATCAGCAGTTTGAAACCATCAGGTGCTCTGTTTAAGACAGTGGTTCTCAACCTTCTTATGGTGTGACCCCTTAGTACAGTTCCTCATGTTGTGGTGACCCCCCCCTTGAAACATAACATTATTTTCATTGCTACTTCGTAACCGTAATTTGCTACTGTTAAGAATCAAGCGACCACTGTGAAAGAGTCGTTTGACCACCAAAGGGGTCGCGACCCCCAAGTTGAGAACCACTGGTTTAAGAGACAAACACAGCTGATTGTTGATTGGGCTAAGCTAAAGCAGGCTGGGATCTCTTCCCTGCACATCCCTGGAGGTCTTCAGCTGCACCCCAGAATGAGGAGACCAAGAAACAATGCCCAGAATGCCTGACTCCCCGATAACTGGACAGCCTACCTGCTAGAGCTGATTAACTATATCCTGGGCCATAAACTAACATCCTGAGCCATAAACCTTACTGCTGACATTCTGGGCCCTAAACCTTGCTGCTGCAGAACGACCCCCTTACCCCCAGCTTTCCTTTAAAAATCCCAGGCCCCAAACAAAGCCTGAGATCTCCCTGGGCTACTTGCTAGACCAAGGGCTTTCACAGGAGCTGGCTCTCGCTCTCTCTCCTCTCTCCCCTGTCCCCTCCCTCCCTCCCTCCCGTCCTCTGTCTTACAATAAAACTGTCTCTGACTGCATCTGCTTTGTCCTGACTAGATTCTCATCCTGTGGCACAGTTCATCTTTACAACAGCTTTCTACTGCCATAAAGAGTTAAACAGCCTTGGAAACCAACAGGGCAACAGGGGTAGTACTACGTTTTTCTGTAGGGTCACTATAAGGTGGAAATAACTCGAAGGCAATTATATGTTGATTTTTTCCCTGCCGTAACCCTAAAAAACTATTGATCCAGGTACTGTCTCTAGATTTACCCTATCCAGGATTTCATATGGAAGAGGAAGCAATAAAATAAAACCAAAAGACCTCAATCAAACAAAAAGCAGAAAATAACTAGAATAAATTTTAAATGGGTCAAAAAAGATAAAATGATAAGTTCTTCCATTTTAACCTAACTACGTCTACATTAAACCACTTTCCAATGAACTCTGATAGCAAGGCCATTCACATCCCTAGTCAATGGTCAAAGGGGATTCACATGGGAACAATGCAAATGGATTTTGGGTTTTCACTGTCAGCCTTCTGCAAACAAGGTGCTCACAATTTAAATTTTAATATAATATGATTCCCTCCTTTGGTCTTGGATTCAAGTTAAAGAAATTAGGATAAGGAAGGATATATTGTTTTATGCATGTACAACAAGATTTATTCAAAATCAAAAATTCTATGCATTTAACTGTTAATGTTTAAAAAGTATTAATGTTGCAAGTACAAGGAAATCAATAAATAAATATAAAATTGTAATAGGAAGCATACACACTCAACTCAGAATCTAAAGAGATCAAGTAAAATAAGAAAGGAAAACCAAAATACATAAGTAACACAATGTTTTTGATGAAACAGAACTATGCATAAACAGAGGATATTTATGTAATCCTCATTTACACAAAATGTGTATAAAACAATGTTGGAGAATCTCTAAATTAATGAATTGCACCATATATAAAAAATATATTAACTATATGAGGAACATATCAATAATCAATAAAAATTTGTCAATGTAAAATAACCATCTAGATATGACAATAACAATGACTCATATATTAAATTCTTTGTTTTGCTAATGTGTATTTTTAGTTGGGTGGTATGTACACAGCTGTTGATTTTATTAAAGTGTACGTGAACATTATATTCACTATTGTTTATATATACAAATATTTCACAGTTGGTACTGTTGCTATTAGTTTCCATCAAGTTGGTTCTGACCCATAGTGACCCCATGCACAACAAAAGGAAACACTGCCCATTCCTGCCCAATCCTCACAAATGTTGCTATGTCTAAGCCCATTATTGCAGCCACTATGTCGGTCCATCTTGTTTAGGGCCACCTACTTTCCCCTGCCTCTCCACTTTAGCAAACATGATTTCTCAATTATTTTAGAGCAAATTGGAAGTATTATAAAGCCAAAGCTTTAGTATTATAATAGTATAATTTTATTAGAACCTTTGCACTATATAAAATAAATCCTGATTATTTATGCATTTGTATTTGCAATGTTAGGAAATTTGATGTTATTTTTATTTATTTTGAAAACAGGTTTATTGCCACTTCATCCACATACAAGTCAGTAATTCAATAATATGAAGAAGAGTTGTATAATCATTACCCCAATCAATTTTACAACATTTCTTCCTTGAACTCATTATTAGTGTAATCTTATTTCTTCACCACACTTTGCTTTAGCACCCATATCTTCAGTGATTTCTTCATGAAGGTGAGGATCGAGCAAGATCATGTTATAAGAACTAACTTCTTGGATTGGGGCTAGAAATACATGGGAGCAAAGAATTCATCTGGTTGTCCACAGATTATGAACGACTCTATGTTAGCAGTCATTATGATGACAAAAACAAAAAAACAACAAAAAAACTCAACACACCCACCCCCAAACAAGAAGAAAAATCATTTTCAACCATCCCTCCGGGGTATAAGGCGATTGCATTGATAACAACAATAATTTAGCCAGTGGCATAGAATTTAAGGTACTGTTTATATGAATTTATGTGAGCATAGTCCAACTGCGAGCTGCAATCTATGAGCTATTGCTTGTACAGATTAATTTCTTAATTGATTGAGCTCTGTTTGCATTGAGCATGGGGGTTGGCACTAGCGAAAATTTTCCTGTAACGTTACTTACATGGGCAGATCTATGCCTATCAGATTAATGCCTGTCAAATTAATGTAAGGGGGGCATTCAGACACTAAATACATGGTGATTCTTGGTCTCCTTTCATTGGACACCCACTAAGCCAGGGGTTGACCCCAAGGTTCAATGGCCATCATTTCCATAGTGTTTTGGTGGCCATTCTTTGTTTCCTCTACCAACAGGGAATGTCTGGCTGAATTCCAAGGATTACAGTTAGTTTTGAGGTAGGCCCAAGTTAGTAAGGTTGGGCTTCAATGTCATAGTGCTTAGTCCATGGCCCAGTTCACCAAAGCTTGGGTAGAAATTTATTCTAAGTGGCTACCCAGGAACATATAACCTGGTTTATTTTCCCCTTAGGTCCCCTTCAGTTATTGTTTAGCCTCACTTCCCAATGTGTGCTTGCTCCTCCCCATTTACACATCATATATACCAAAAGCAATATAAGTGTTCTTCTGAAATATAGACGGTTCCTTTTTCCTCTTATTCCTGTGGAGGGCCTGTTAATTTGTCTCAGATTTGTCTCAAAGTTGTACAGCATCCAGTAGATAGCCTTTACTATTTTCCCTCTTCTTGAAGGAATGACCCCAGACAATATGAGGTCTCCTTTTTTGAGGTAGTTTTTATGAAGTGCATATAAGGGGGATGTGTTAGTCTGTGCTGACTAGAGAAACAAATTCATAGACACTCATATGTGTATAAGAAAGAGCTTCATATAAAGAGTAATTGTATATTAAGAAAACATCCCAGCCCAGTCCAGTTCAAGTCCATACGTCCTATGTTAGTCCATATGTCCGATACCAATCTATAAATTCCTCTTTGGACTCATGTAATATATGCAGTCACACAGAATGCAGAGGATCACAGGCCAGTAGAAAGTCGTATAGACCCAATGGCAGTGGAAGCATCTTAGTATTGGAAGGGGTCTCTACATGGCTCCTTCAGCTCCAGGGCTCTAACGTAGCTCCATGTGTCTTGTCTGCAGCAATGTCAGGCAGGGAGTGTATGTGTGTGCTGCCTCTGGTGAGCTATTTATCTCCCAAGCGCCTCCAAATAAGGTCATCAAGCCACGCCCTGATTGACAGGCTAACCTCCACTCCTTCCCTCTTAAGTCTCAAATTGACAACAGATTATGTAACTACCACAGGGGGTAATGCATGGTTCATGGCTGATAGATTTTCTACCCCTATATTTGGGAATTGGTCTCTAAGATTTGTTTAATTGGCATTTCTCCTGATAGTTGTGGACTCATACAATATTTGCCCTTTTGCTATTGACTAACTTTACTCAGTACAATGGTTTCCATGTCCTTCTATATCGTGTTGTTTCATGCTTTCATCACTGTTTTTCAGCCACAAGTAGTATTCCACTGTGTTTATAGTTTCTTTACCCATTCTTCTACTGTTGGGCATTTTGGCTTCCAGTTTTGTGCTATTGTGAATGTGGGAAAGTGTATATCCA